GCAGGAAGGGCAGGTGTAAAATTATTCTGCGGTTTGTTGGGTGTATGTGTATTTCTCTTCCAGCATGATTTGAATGTCACTTGCCCCTACTGCATGAAATGTCAGACCTACCCAAGTGCATGTGACCAAGTCAATCGCTGGCATCTGCCGCTTGCGGAAGTTTTGTCAGTCACACGACATGATATTGTCTAGGGCTGGTCCACAGATGAGAAGATGCATTTACTACCGCTGAAGTGCTTAGGGATACCTGCTTTTACTGCTGATGAACCCAGATTCAAATTCCACTAACAACCCAGGCCACAGGGCATTATAGATAAAACTCCAACAAGCCGATTCTCCTCTCATTTACACTGGTATAAATTAGAAGTAATTCCACTGAAGTTGGCAGAGGAACATCGGTAGGGTGGAATCAAGTCCTAATATTGCTACCCAAATATTTATATTATTGCAGGATTCTGGATGCATGAACAGGCAATCATGCCCTCCCCATGAACTCTGTGCCAAACATCATTATAAAGGTAACTTGTCCTAACCCTACTACAAGAATTAGGGGCTCACCCAATGAATTAATAGGTAGCAGGTATAAAACAAACAAAAGGAAGTATTTCTTCATGCAACAGACAGTCAAACTGTGGAACTCCTTGCCAGGGGATGTTTTGAAGTACAAGACTAAACCAGGGTTCAAAAAACAGCTAGATAAATTCATGGAGGATAGGTCCGTCAATGGCTATTAGCCAGCATGGACTGGAATGATATCCCTAGCCTCTGTTTTCAGGGGATTTCTTTGGGTGTCGGGGGATGGATCACTTAATGCTTCTCTGTTCTGTTCATTCATTCTGGGGCACCTGGCATTGGCCACTGTCAGAAGATACTGGGCTAGGTGGACCTTTGGTCTAACCCAGCATGGCCATTCTTATGTTCTGATGACTTAGACTGAGAACAAGGTCTCGGATATGGCCTGTCATCCTTGTGTGACAAATTATCGATCATGATTTTTGGGCACGGACTGCAACAAATGGAGATGGAACTTTTTCATCTTTAGGATTTGGTTGTTTTCCCTGATATGTTTGTGAACTTCTTGGAGGGTGGGAGAAAAGGAACACTAAGGTCCTGACATTGCAGAATAAGCAGTGTGCCAAAATACCTGCCAATGGTCATGAAATCTATAAAAAATATAGAACAAGGGCAGGAACTGCTGAGTACGTCGGAAGAAGGAAGGCACTGATAAATATACTGACGTGACTGAGCACTGACTCTGGAGAGAAGCGCATCGGAGTTCTACACCTGACCTGCCCCAGACTTAACATGTCTGTGCCTCGGTTTATCCATCTGTAAAATGGGGATAACCCAATTTCTCGGGAATGCTGTGAGAATGAAAAAGTGTGTAAAGTGTTCTTGAATGACTAAGCAGTATGAATAGGGAGCAGAAGGTCAATTACTTGGAGCAACTGGGGATTCCTTCAGCTTTCTATGAATAGCCCTATTGTAAGGGGATCCCTTGGTGGTGTAAAGGCTGCAGAGCTGGGGTAAGGGCTGGATTAGTGCTTTGGCAATCCTGGGCTAGTGGAATGGCCCATGGTGTTTCTGTGCTTTCCATAACTTGCAGTGGGGGTTAGTTTAGCCCCTGCTGCATTCCAGGATGAAGGAGGCACCCTTCCCTTTCCTCCTGTCCAGCAGCATCCGACATGAGCTTGAGGAAGCTGAGGACTAGGCCCAGATAATACGGTACACTGAATTTGTCCGGCTTGGCCTCTGACAAATGAATCATTGTCCACCTGGATAGAGACTAGAATGGCAATTCCCACCCTTTGTTCCCCAGATCTTGGCAATGGGCCTCTTGCTTCTCTGCTCTTCCGTTAGGAAATCTTGAGACGCTTTTCAAAGCATCACACAGCTGGCACTTGGGGCAACAGAAAAAAAAAAGCCCCATAGAACATTTAATTATCTTTCCCAGCACTTGGGAGCGGATGGTGTGAGCCTCTTTCTCTGTGCACCAACTTGCAAGGCAGAGCTTGCTGAGGACGTGAAACACTTGCAGGTAAATACCACTAATTACAGCTTCAGTGCTGCCTACCTCCAGGATATGCTCAGCCTTGTGTTCTCGATCCAGCTGCTGAGAACCGGTGGAAATCAGGCCTGCCAAGAGAGAAATAACCTTTTGAGTTCCAAGCCTTCCAGGAGAGGATAGCACAAATTGTTCTTCTGACTCGTCAGCCGGGGCCAGATTCAAAGACTGACATTCCCCCGTAAGCAAAGTGATGAACATGCAAGAGGGTTGTAGGAAGGCAACATTTCCTACCCCCAAATCCCCATGCTTGCGAGCAGAAGTGGTTTTACAATGGGGAAATGTTGCCTCTTCTTTCTTATTTCTCTCTTCTCTGAGGCTGCGTTTAGACCGGCATGATTTTCCGCAAATGCTTTTAACGGAAAAGTTTTCCATTAAAAGCATTTTTGGAAAAGAGCGTCTAGATTAGCACGGATGCTTTTCCGCAAAAGCACTTTTGCAGAAAAGCGTCCGTGCCAATCTAGACGTGCTTTTCCACAAAAAAGCCCCGATCGCCATTTTCGCGATCGGGGTTTTTTTGCGCAAAACAAATCTCAGCTGTCTACACTGGCCCTTTTGCTCAAAAGGACTTTTGCCCAAACGGGAGCAGCATAGCATTTCCGCAAGAAGTTGGAGCAAGAAACCCTCTAGTTTGACAGTATTTTGACATTATTTCGAAATAACTGCCTGCTGTGTAGACGCGGACTAAGCAGATGCTAATTATTTTGAAATAATATTGCTGTGTAGACATACCCTAAATATTGCAGTATTTTGGGCAAAAGTTTGAAGTTTCTTCTTATGGAAGGGAAGACTCTCTCAGCCAGCAGCTGAGGCTAGTTAAATCCAGGCTATTAGATGGACCTTGTTAACAGTGAGTAACCACTGGATAAGCTTTGCAAGGGATAGGGTGGATTCTCCATGGGGTGAAGTCTTTAGGGCTAGAGTCGATGGCTTCCTGAAAATATGCGCTAGCGTGGGCTTGTGGCAGGGTTAATGGGCAGGACTGTCCTTACGCATCCGCACAATGCACAGCTGCATAGGGCACCACTGTGCCCCAAATTCAGTAGTGCCCTATGCTTAGGGTTGCCAGATGGTTGAAACAAAAATCCCGAACCCCCCCCCCCGCAAAAAAAAAAAAACACCGGGAAAGAATTCTGTTGAAGGAGGGGAAAAAATGGGGGTGGGGGGGAGACCAAAGTTGTTGAGCAAAAAAAAAAAAAGAATTTAAAATAAAACAGCATGTCCCCTTTAAGGGTGAGTGCAGGGATAGGAACAGGGGAGCGGTTGAGCACTAAGACCCAGGGGGAGGCATTGCTTCCCCTTGGTCTTTTGCCGGCAGCCATTTTGCGCCGGCAGCCTTGCGGAACCAGGTAAGCATGGAGTCTGGGATCGTGCTGGCAGCCTTGCAGAACCAGGTAAGCATGGGGGCTGGGGTCGGGGGGCTGGGGTTGTTGGGAGCCGGGGGAAGGCCGGGTGCTGAGTGTTTGTAGGGTTGCCAGGTGCCCAGCATTTTCGCCTCCTGGCCGGGGAAAAAAATCAGAAAATACTGGACATTGTAGGGGTCCGGCATTCTCTGAATTTTTTTACTGGACAGGAGGCAAAAATACCGGACTGTCTGGGTGAATACCGGACACCTGGCAACCCTACCTATGCTGCATATGTCTAGTGTGGGGCCCTGCTTTTCCAATCCCATAGCTCCTGCTCCACTTCCCGGCCAGCAGCTCCGGCAGGCTGCACTGCTCCCCATTCCACCTGCTCCCCCGCCAGCCTCCCTGTCTTGATCCTCCCTCCCCTACTCCCAGCTCCTGCCTCCACAGCCCCCTCGTTTTCAAGCCCATCTGTTCCCGCTGATGGCCATGTTGTACATAATGCATGACTTTCTGACAATGGAGAGCCTCAGGCTTGTGAGCGCTCTGTGTCACGGCCCTGCGTCTGCCACCGCCAGCCCTCGATGCATGGTTTATAATCCATGTATTATGGGCCAAGCCCTGAGGGCCCGTTGCTCACACAAACGCCAGCTGAAATCAATGGGCATTTGTGTGGCTATCGAGCCAGGACCGCCAATGTGGGCCTGTTTCCCAGGGTGGCCGGATTAAAGAGGTCGGAGTGCATTAGAGAGAGAAGGTGGGTGAGGGAGATCTGAAGAAAAGCTCTGTGTGGCTCATACACACCTCTCTTATTTGGCTGATTTCCATGTCTGGGTCACGGGTCACAGGCCACAGGCATGGGGGGAAGGTACCTTGTCGCTGTTTGGAAAGGCATGCTGGCTAGCCTGGAGGCTGGAGCTACAGAAGCTAGCTCAGCCCCTAAATACACCATGGAGGTTAGAAGCCACTGAAGCTGTTAACTTCCTCCAGCTCTTTCAGCCTTGGTTAATCATTGAGTGTGGAGGCCTTTTTGCAAAATCCCAGACAAGAACCAACAAGCATATTTTCTACTGGATCGCCTGCTCCGCAGAATACATCTGATCCCTGCTTGCAAACTACACGGATGCCTGGCACCAGCTTTAAAAAGTTCTTTTGTAAAGTTCTTCCCCAGCTGGAAGAAAAGTTTGGAAGTCCAGGTGTGCCTGAGTCCTGCGCTTGCAGCCTGTCCGATCCCACGTGCCGAGCAATGGGAACAGATCGTTTCTGCCTGCAGCAACAGAATGACTCCTGCTCGTTGTCAGAATAAGGGAAAAGAAAAACCCGTCGTGTTGGAACAGGAGCAGCAAAAGGCAGCACCTTGGCACCCGCCAAGAGAAAAGAACAGCTTCTGCTGGCAGAGCTGGGGATGGGGGGCTGACCTCGCGCCCAGCCCAGGCAAGAGCAGTTAAAACAGGAAGCGCTACGTTCAGAGCTTTTCACCACAAGATCCTGAGAAAGGAGGAGGCAGTTTGCCTGAAATCTCCCTTCTGTGGTCCCCTTGCCTCCCCCATTTCTCCCCCCCCCCCCCCCGTCACGTGTTCTCTTACTCTACTTCACCCTCTTTCCCCTGTTTTCCTATTTCCCCCCTCCCTCAACAAATCCCTCTCCCTCTTGCTTTCTCTTGGCACAAATTGTTAACAGAGAGGGCAAATAACCATTGACACAAACAACCCTCCGCAGTGGGGGAGTCTTTATCTGGTAAGGTCTTCAGTTCCAGCCTCAATGTTTTTCTCAAAGATCTGCCTTCGCCAAACACAAGTGATGGAGATCATTAAAGGGAGAACTGGGCAAAGCGAATGGCCTGTGACATACAGAAGGTCCGACGGTATGATCCAGTGGCCCCCTGTTTCCTTCTATCTCCCTGTGATGCGGGGTTCACCCCACACTAGAGCAGAAAGGGTTAATGTGGCCCAGGAGGAATTCAGCAATCTGATAGGCCACCTGTGAGGGGAAAGGGGGCTGGCTGAACAAGCCCTCATTAAGGATGGAGCCCAGCTGAGTCGAAGGTACAGGGCATGCAGGCAGCAGGGTAATCCACTGGTGCGCTGCGATGTATTTTGTCTCCGTTGACCGTCCGCTGTCACAGCCCCGCCCCCTGCTCCAGCTGGCCGTGGCTCACCATTCCTGGCTGCCGGAAGTGGCGGGAAGTGGCAGCCAGCACATCGCTGCGGCCCACGCCACTTCCTGCAGCTCCCATTGGCCGGGAATGAAGAACTGCAGCCACGGGGAGCTGCAGCGGGCAGTGCCTGTGGCCAGTCAATGCAAATAAAATGCCTTGTGCCCCCCCTCTTCCCCCGCTCAGCATATTACCCTGTTGGATCACATGCCAAAGGCTGCAATGCGGGGACTAGAATAAAGCTCGGAGTTTGTAGCAGAAAGGGGCTGCAGCGTGGAAGCTTCTTTGGGCTTAGAGAGGGCAAGAAAGAGGAGACCCAGGGAGAGAGGAGAGGCCCTGGGATCCTGGCTCTGGAGGCAGGGTCTACCTAGAAGGGAGGGGGAGCAGAAGCCCGGTAGGGGTGGAGTAGGAAAAGACTCAAGGAAGCGGCAGCAAGGTTTGGGGTGGGGTAGCCCCTGGCTGGTGACTGGCGGCTGTCGTTCATCTGAAAAGCAGCAAACGCTCCCCAGGGTTCTCCAGACCCACGGCGTCTCTTCGAAGAGAGGCATCTGCTGTGCTTGGGTCAATGGGGGTCATTGCAAGGTGATCCGAGCTAGGGGCGGTTTCTTTGGCTTGTGTCTCCAGTTCCTTATCCCAAGAGTCAAACCAAGGAATGTGGGATTTGGTAATAAAAGCCGGAGGATTTGCAGTTGGAACAAACCCAAGCATGTAAAGGCTTGTTGCAGGAGCATGAAGGTAGAAACCCAAGACTTATTCTGGCTTTAGTTTATGCAAGGACTTTAAATTCCATCTCACTGGCAAGTCAGTGCTGTATGCAGGCCTCTGTTTAGAGGTGACAATGAAAAACCTACCCCATCCGTCTAACCCACTGTTTGCCAGCAGCATGTAACAACACTGCACACCTGATGTTATGGCGTCTGCAGCCCCCTATGCCTGGGATAGTCCGGTGGACACTGTGTGCTCAATGGGACAGAGCAGAACTGGTCTGGCTTAAAACAATGCCCCAAATCAAAGGGTCAAGACCAGTGGTTCCCTATAAGCGGTGCGCTTGTGCAGCCGCTCAGGAAAAATGTACAGCACTGCAGAGCATTGGAGCAGGAAAGCAGCAAGTAACTTTTTTTCTCCCAGAGAGTAAAGTGCCTGTGTACAGCTCCAAGCACTCATGGAGTTGAACATTGGAAGCAGGTTGGGAGTCAAGTGGTGGATGAGGAGAATGCATTCAGAGAGGGGCATGTTTCCCAGGTCTCCTGACAGGTTTAAAGAGAGAGGGGAGCAGTGTCTGCCAGTCCGTCTGGTTGCCTCCTTGCAGAGAAGCACACACAGAAAGAAATCGGTTTCTGGAAGAAGCAGCCGTCCCCCGGACTCTGGAACCTCGAAGGAGCAGAGAGGGCAGAGACGGAGGGCATCCCAGTGGAAGAGATACTGGCTGAGTGAGTGAAGGGAAGAAGAGACCAGTTTTGTTCTGCATTCTCCTTGCTTTCAAGACAAATGACCCCGACCACCCTGTAACCCCAAAGTCCTCATTCCTTCCGCAGCATCCTCTCCCCACCCGCAAACTCCCCGTGTACTGGGACACAACTTACATCCAAAATGGACTTCCACGTCCAAAATGCAAACGTTTCCGGTGAATATTCTATCCCACGAAACCACAGCTGGGCTGGACTGGTAACAGTCCATTGCCAGTGGTGGGAGGCTATTGTCTTCACTGTGCTTATTCCTTCCTCTTATTAGCTTTTCGGCTACGTCTAGACTGGTATGATTTTCCGCAAATGCTTTTAACGGAAAAGTTTCCGTTAAAAGCATTTGCGGAAAAGAGCGTCTAGATTGGCACGGATGCTTTTACGCAAAAACACTTTTTGCGGAAAAGCGTCCGTGGCCAATCTAGATGCGCTTTTCCGCAAAAAAAACCCCGATCGCCATTTTCGCGATCGGGTTTTTTTTGCGGAAAACAAATCTCAGCTGTCTACACTGGCCCTTTTGCGCAAAACTTTTGTGCAAAAGGGACTTTTGCCCGAACGGGAGCAGCATAGTATTTCCACAAAAAGCACTGATTTCAGACAGTAGGAAGTCAGTGCTTTTGCGGAAATTCAAGCGGCCAGAGTAGACAGCTGGCTAGTTTTTCTGGAAAAGCGGCTGATTTTCTGGAAAAACTGGCCAGTCTAGACACAGCCTTCGTGTATTTCTCCTCTTCCTCGCCACCCTCTCCCAGGTAACTGAGAGAGGAGACAGGGTGGAGTCCTTTATGCTCGCTCTGTGCTTTCTGAGGAAGCCCCTTGTTAAGGGCCCTTTTCGCTCCCTTTAAAGCCTTCTATCGCTGAGAGAATGTCTTAAAGGGGACCCGATTCCTATCCTTCCACAGAACAGCTCCACTGTGTGTCGTATCTGCCAGTGTGTCTCATCTGCAAACAAGAGACTGAGAGGGAGAGGTTAGCCACTGTGGGCCCTTTCATTCTTGGCTTCTCGGAGATCACCCGCTAAATGACAATGGGAGGGGGGTTATGCTGATGGCCTCCGTCTACACTGAGACCATCTCAGCTCAGGAGGGCACCGGAAAACGTATAAAAAAAAGAGCCTGTAAGAAAATAGTAAGTGCCAGGAGCAATTCTCTTCCCCAGGCAAGGCACTGTCAGACTGGCAGTGCTCGGTGGCAGAAAGGCCTGCTTGGACATGTTTATTTCCTGCTGCTACATTTCGTCGTCATGTGGGGTGACTGGTTGTTACAGGGGGCAGGGTTCTTGCTGTGGGCAGGGAGTAAATGAACCTTTCTTTATAGGCCACATTATTGGGAAAGATGAGGGAATTTAAATGCCAGAGGGTCACAAAAGCTTTCCGGGGCTAGGACTGGCGCAGGAGCAAGAAGGGGCAGGGTAGGGTAAGCTAACCTAGTGCCTGGCAGTCCCAGCAGACAGGGCAAGAACTGAATGGGTGTGGAGACTGAACACCGCCTCGCCTTTGGAGGAGGGGGACTGTGTGGTTGGGGGAGGTACCATGGAGGTTTGTGAGTGCATTGTGGGTAAGGAGAGGCCGCTGCCTCTTGCGTGGCTCAGGAGATGCCTTCAGCCCACAGAGCTGTCAATCTGACCTTTCGCCAGCACTAGGCTCCCAGGGCAAGCCAGCTCTCTCGCTAGCTGCTGGAATGCATGCGCGTTGCTGATAAGGTCCAGCTGGGCTCTTTGGGAGAGGGCTGTGTGGATGGAGACTGTCTTTACCGGCCCTTCTGTCGGGTGGATTTTCAGAGCAACCTGAGTGTGCACCTTATGCTGGCTAGTGCCTGAGCGCAGCTGTGGGAGGGGTCTTAAGCAGAAATGGGGAGAGGGGAAATTATGGTTCTGGACCCATACAGGGAGGGATCTTTAAGGTGCATTCTTGCATGTGGTTAGTCCTGCCTTCTCTATGAGATGTGTGGGCATTTCTGCACCGCTGATCCTTGGGACTGAATCTTTCTGATTTGTTCCCAGTGCCATGGTAACATAAACTCTTATTTGCCCACTAAGCAAAAGCATTTTATCAAGGGCGATATTTCTGGAGACCTAGACTGGGGTGTTCTCCACATTTAGTAAGTTTCCTTCTGAGTGGGCTGAGGGGTTATGGCTCTGAAACCTTTGTGCCAATTCTCACCTCTTCAGTAGTTGCTAAACTCCGATGACTAACAACAATGGGCTTTGTGGTTTCCCCGTGAAATTACTCATCGTTCATTACTGAGGAACATCCAGAAAATAAGACTCCCAGTCATGCCTCGTAACAGACACTTCTGCTCCAACAAATTCAGTTACTCAAAATAGTCTCCTGTCTTAGGATGGAGGGTTCATCTCTGAGTGAGGTTGGTAGAATTTGGAAGTAACCAGTTATAGTCTTTTCTAGAGCCTTGCTGGATCTGGAATCCAAATCCTTTTAGAACCTATCATGTTCTTCCCTCCATGTAGGAAAAAAAGAGAGAGCGGCGTGTTTTGCCTTGAAAAAGCATTCAGCATAAAAAACCTAAACTATTGGAAAAACCTCTCCAGAGCGTATTAAAAGCTCTAGATCAGTGGTGGGCAACCCGCTACCTGTGGCCTCCAGACTCCCTGGCTGCCCCTTTCCCCATGTGCCTCTCATGCACTGGGCACTGGAACCCCACACTTTCTACTCTTCCCCCTCCCTCCAAGAGCTGGAACGCCGTGAATCAGCTGTTTGCAGAGTTCCGGCTCGGGGAGGGAGAATCAGGGATGGGAGCGTGAATCAGGTGATTAGCGTGCTCAGAAAGTGCTGGGAGCACGTCATACAGTGATCATGCCGTTTAATGACCAAAGAGGGTTGTCAAAAAGGACATTTCCTTTTAGAATCCTAGAACACTAGAACTGGAAGGGACCTCAAGAGGTCATCGAGTCCAGTCCCCTGCCCTCACGGCAGGACCAAATACTGTCTAGAAAGACCATTCCTGATAGCTGTCTATCCAACCCACTCTTAAATATCGCCAATGCTATCTCTTGGTGCGGGTATACCTGCCTCTTGCTCTCACTGCCCGGTGGGGCAACTGATTGCAAGGAACAATATTAAAAACAATTTTTTTATTCTCATGGATGCTTCCAAAGAGGTAAAACAATCTCCTTTCCTTCTGAGCACCTCTTGGCTGAATCTCATTTCCTTCTGAGCATCTCTGGGCTGCAAATAAAGGCTGGTACAGTTGGTGGGAGTGCCAGGGACAATCTGCCTCTTAGCTATGGGAGCCAACAGCCATGCTAGGCCCTAGAGCAAGGTGAGGAGAGGGGCCCCATGTGGAAGGGGCGGGGCACCTCCACGTCCTCAAGCAGCCCTAAGAACGCAGCCGTATGATGCTCCAGTGGCAATTTAAAGGGCTTGAGGCTCTAAGCCCCCTTTGAATCACTCAGTTGCCCCCTTTGCTGCCCCTGTCGGCAGGCTTGCTCTTAGCAGAGATTGTCCCTGGGGATTTGGATGTTTTGAAAGAGTCACCCTTAAACTGATCCATTTCATTCAAGGCCAGCTGTAATTTAGCAGCTATGCCCGTTGCGGTGCTGAGTAAGCTCTCCGCAACACTCCATGCAGTCTAGGAAGACAGAGCCTGCTTAGGCCTTACCTGTGACAGGATTAATGGTGAAGCACGCATGAGCATTTCCATGTAGGATTTGGAAAGTCAGCTTCCCTGTGGAGCTGGAGTCAGGGTCCCTGGCATCAAGCTGAAGGACAGAAGTATTCACTGGGGAGTTCTCCATGACAGAGGCAAAAAAGATGGGTCTCGACATCTGGGGCGGGTTGTCATTGATGTCGGTGACTTCAATATAAACCTCGGCCACAGAGGACAGAGGAACGGAACCCCGGTCAACAGCTAACACGGTCAGCCAGTAGTGAGATGTGGATTCTCGGTCCAGCGGTCCCACCGTCTGAATTGTACCTAGGAGAGTTACAACAGGTTCTTTCAGTGGATTCCAAGAACTCCAAAAACTATGAACAACAATTCCCTTTAAAAACTCTGGGTTGGGTTTGTGTGTGGTCCACTAGCAGTCCTATGTTACCATGCAGGAGATCTGAGTCTGGTGCATGGGGTTGGCATGATCCTAGAGATGCAGCTGCATGCCTTGGGGTTGTTAGATGGTGGAGGGAGAGAAAGGGATCTGAAATACTGCAGGAGGAGATCCTGATGACTGAAGGGAATCTCAATTTCATACCCTCTTGGTCCAGCTGAGGAAGGGGCACGCAGACCTCACTGCTATGGGAGTTACAGCTGGCCAAGGAAATCCCAGATGTCTGCAGTGAAAACCAGGAAGAGGACATGGAAAGTGTGTCTGGGGCATGTCCCAGTCCCAAGTTCCCCTGAGCAGATAGTGGGGCTGTTATGGGGCTTTGGCTGCTCTTTCAAGCTGTCTTCTCCTTGCCCACCTCCCTCAATAGGCAGGAGGTGCACACAGCCTGCTCCCCACCGGCATGAATTCCCGTCAGGAGCAGCTACCCCATGGATGATTTCAGCTAGCGCATGAGGATGCACATTGCCCTCCCCATGGAAGATCTGACATCATGGGCTTTGCAAACAAAATACAGAAAAATTCTGGCAGGTCAAAATTCAGACCAGCCAGAGGATGTCATTTAAAATAGTCTTCACAGCACCCCACCCCCCAGTATGCCCCTATAGTGGACCCTCATTACCTGTGTCCTCTTCAATGTGGAAGACAGCTAGGCCAGTGCCCTCTCTGATGGAATATTGGAGTTCTCCATCCTTCCCCTTATCGCCATCCTGAGCTGTTACTGTCATCACCGATGTGCCCTCTGGGCTGTTCTCCTGCACCCAGCCGCTGAACACAAAGGAGGTAAAGTGAGGCGGGTGCAGGTTCTCATTGACATCCAGGACATCAAGCGCCACGTGGCAGAATGAAGAGCGAGAGACTGGCCTCCCGCCGTCGCTGACATGCACGGTCAGATTGTAGAAATCCCGCGTCTCATAATCCAGCTCTTTCTCCACCTGGAGAGCCCCCGTCAGCCTATCCATGTGGAACGTCCTCTCCTCATTGTTGATAAGACTGTATTTTACCTCTCCCCCAGAGCCAGTGTCAGGATCAAAGGCTTCTAGGAAGAGAAGAATGGTCCCTAGGGGCAGGTCTTCAGGGACCTTCACATGGTTCTGGGCTGGGAGGCAGCGTGGGGGATTGTCATTTACATCTTCCAAAGTCACAACCAGATCAGTGACTGAAAACAGCTGGTGGCCCATTCTAGGCTGGTCCCTGGCTTCAATTTTTAGCATATAGCGAGGCCACAATTCTCTGTCCAGGGGGCCCGTTACTGTCACCTCCCCAGTGACACTGTTAATGGCAAATTTATCAGTGGGGGTTAGGAGGGAATATTTCACCTTCCCGTTGTCATCTGTATCAGCATCTTCCGCTCTGACCTGCGCGACAGTGGTCCCTTTTGTGACATCTTCTGGTATCGCTGCCCAGTATGCCCCTTGTGAGAATTTTGGAGCATTGTCGTTGGCGTCCAACACGTTGACTGCCAAGAGTTTCCACGATGACTTCTGAGGCGTGCCCAGGTCATACACAGTAATGTTAAGGATGTAGAAGCTTGTTCGTTCATGGTCTAAAGGGGAGAGAACATGGAGGAAACCCCTTTCTATGTCAATTGTAAAGCAACTGTCCTCATTCCCATCAGCGATCACATATACCAGTTTGCCGTGAAAGCCAGGATCGGGGTCAACCGCTGCCAGGTCAACAATGGTTGAGTTGACTGGGACTGTCTCCAGGACATCGATAGACCTTGGAAAGTTGTCCTCAAACCGGGGTGCATGATGATTCACGTGATACAGGTTCACAGCGGTTTCCTCCTCCAGTCCTTGGTCCTGAGACAGAGATTCAATGGAGTGGATTATATTCTCCGTTAGCTGTTGCAGTACCCCTGTCTCCTCGCACTGCATGTGGACTGGGAAGTCTGAGCTAACCACAGTGATGTTCACGGATGTAGGCAAAGCATCATTCTCTCCGTCCGTTGCAGTTATTTGCAGAGAATAGAAGGGCGGTTGTCCGGCAGGTAGATCTCTGAGTGAGGTTCTAAGGGAGAGGACCCCAGAGATGGGATTCATGTCAAAATGCTGCAGTTCGTTGCCTGAAAGGATTTTGTATTTGACATGCTGCAGCTCATCTACATCAATGGCGGATACAGTGACCACGGGATGCCCGATCGATAAGTTCCGGGGGATGCTTCCACTGCAGTTGGCTTTCTCAAATACTGGGGCATTGTCATTAAGGTTGCTCAAGATGAGGGAAACATAAACTTCGGTCTCATGGCGGAAGGGGGAGCCCCAGTCTGATGCCCAGACACGCAGATGGTACCATCTCTGCATCAGTTCATAGTCCATTGGCTTGGAGGTGGAGATGACACCTGAAAATGGATCAATAACGAATGGAGCAGCTCTCTTGTTGGCTATGGTGTAGGTGACAATCCCATTCTCCCCCTGGTCAAGGTCGGTAGCCTTCACTGTTAAGATGCTGGTGCCAGGCGGAAGGTTTTCATTGAAGCTGTCGCGGTACGAAGACTGAGTAAAACTTGGAGCGTGGTTGTTGCAATCAGTGACATCAATGACCACAGCCGCATAGGCCTGACTGTTGGCTGTTGTAACTTCAAGTTCAAAGTGAGACTGGTCTTGGAAGTCCATCCTTCTGACAGTCGTGATCAGCCCAGTTTGAGGGTTGATTTTAAACCCTGTGCTGTCGGGAGTGGGTCTCAAAATATACTTCAGATGTGGGAAGACTGGAGTGACTTTAACCATAGTAACTTGGCTCCCAGGTGGGGAAAATTCACTGAGCCGGGCCCTGTACACTTCCTGCTCAAATCTGGCTGAGACGTACTTGGAAGGAGGGATGTGGATAACTCGAACCTGAGAGGTCAGAGGTGGTTTGCTCTTGTCCGTGGCCTGCAGACTGAGATTGAAACCCCAGGGGTTAGCCAGCCAGTCGATCTCTTTGGTGGACACGATCATGAATTCATTGCTCCCAACAAAGGATTTGATGGCTTTGAAGTGTCTTCCTGGATCTCCGGCCACAATATCAACTGAATCGACCCCGGCTTCTGAACCATTCGCGTCCACAAACAACGTGGCATACAGGAGGTCCTCATCAGAGTCAGATGGTGTCACTATCACTGAAGTAATAGCTGGGGGCTTCCGGACAGATGGCTCCACTTGGACCACCAGACTAGCCAGGTTTCCAAATCCATTGCCCTCTGAGATTTTCCTCATTCTGTCCACAGCCAGGACCTGCAGCTGGTGTTTCCCTCGGTGGGTGCTGTTCAGCTTCCCGGCTGTCATCACTACGCCACTGGTAGGGTGCACCGTGAACAAGTGTGAGCGGGTGTGGAGAGTGTAATAGAACTCTGCATTCTGACCCACGTCGGCATCCGTGGCGCTGACCACGCTGATGGCGGTTTTCGGGGGCGTGTCGTCTCCGACGATGACTTTGTATGAGGGGGGTGAGAAGAGAGGTTTCAAGTCATTCCTGTCCAGAATGCGGATCAGCACTTTGGCCCAGCTGTCATAGGCAAAAGCTTTCTCTGTCGCTTGAATTATTAACAGGTAACGGTCTTGGACCTCCCTGTTTAAAAGCGCCGTGTTCCCGCTCCTCATTCTGATCCTCAAGAAGCAGAAATCCCCAACCATGTGCTCCTCGGCTTTAAAGAGGCTGTCGCTGTCCCCAGAAGCGATTCGGTATCTGATGGCCCACGCTGGGTCTGTCACGTGAATGCCCATTTTGACATAGCTCTCGACGTAGGTCTTGGGGGCAGAATTCTCGTAGATTGTGGCGTTATAAAAAGGGTGAGTAAAGTGCAAGGGGGAGGAGCTGCCTTTCTCAGAGCGCCCCCCGCAGGCCAGACAATGCATCAGAAATAAAGCAGAGCTCAAGACACGCTTCGTTGTAGCAATTCCCATGGTGTGCGAGGGGAGTAGTCTCCTTGGATCCTGAAGGAAGGCAAAGAATGAACGTGTTAGTCTGTAATGTTGAAAACTTTAAAAACAATGAAACCACCTGAGAGACAACATCGGGGCTCCTACAACTGCTCATCCTCGAATGTGATCTATGCCATCAAGCGCCAGCAATGCCCCCTTTGCCGTGTATATAGGCCAAACCGGACAGTCTCTGCACCCCAGGATTAATGGACACAAATCAGATATGGTAACACACACGAACCCGTAGGGGAACATGTTAACCTCCCTGAGCATTCAGTCATGGATTTAGAAGTAGCCATTCTTCTACAAAGGAATTTTATCACTCAGTTACAGAGGGAAATAACTGAAATGGAATTCATTTACAAATTTGACACGATCCGTTTGGGCTTGAATAAAGATATTAACTGGGTAATGCACTGCAAAGCCAATTTCCCCTGCCTTTGATATTCTCTTTTACACATCAAAAGCTATGACCAACCTGACTTAATTAACATAATTAATACTGGCCTTACAATTGACAGGTAACTGCTTTTGCTGTTGAATATACTCTGGATTTTGTAATTTCCACTCCAACACATCTGATGACGTGCCTGCTGGACCGTGGATATTGCTGGACCAGAGATTCCTAAATTTTAGAGGTGTAACCTGTATTACAGGTACCCCTCTTTACGGTAAAGGATGAAACCAAGGCTACTCGCTAGTAATTCAAGCTATTTATAGGTGCCTATATTTCCTTTGGATCTCCCAGGAGATCGCTATCTGAGGCTGTTCCTTCCTCTTTTAAATTCAAATTGCATATCAAGTACCTGCCAGCTGTTTGGCACCTTACTAATTTAAACAAGCAGGACTTGTTTTTCCAGGTGCTTTTTTCTCTCTTAAGATTTATCTCTTTAAAAGCCAGGACTGGTTCGATTTCCTATTTACACCAAACAGTGGGAACAAATTATCCACACCCAGGCTTGTGCGCATGGGCATCAGCTTCTCTTGTGGCGATGGCTAATGACTGATGAATAAAGGGCTATACACGAGACTCTGTCATTCACAGCCAGCCTTCATTAATAAGTAAAGGCCTCTCAACCAGCAGTCTAGCTGACTGGTGCTCCTGGAACAAGACAGCTGATGTGTAGCCGTAGCATATGTGGCTTGGGCCACGTGGACGATCAAATATCCGAACCAAAAGCCAATGTCCTGGGGAGCTAGTATAGAGTTGGCCAAGTCCAGAGCATTTTGCTACTGTACTATTTCTCTTCCCCAAATCTCGACACTCACTGAGTCCTGAGCCAGCCATGCAACACGTTTGCGTAAAAAAGAGAGAGCTGTGTGTATGAGAGCGAGTGAGCTGTGCTCTTAAAAGATCTGCTTCTTGCTTAGAGGGCTGAAGACTCGGGCAGCATGTCGGGACTTGTCGGAAGCTGCTTCTTTTAGTGGCTGAACCTAGAAAGAAGATGTGTGGGTGTGTTTGTGGGGGGGGAGGGCGTCCCGCTGGCCTGCAGAGCAGGAAGAGTTTCTTGTCTCCTACAATCCACGTGAGCAGAGGGAGCCAGTGTTTGAAAAAGAAAAAGTGAAAGAGACAGACAGCGCTTAAGAAGGGCAGATTTTCCAAATGACAGCAGAGCATTAATGGTCACATCTGGTACCTTTTCTCTAGCAGGGCCAATGCCGAAAGCTTGAGCATAAAGCAAAACATTCCTCCAACCGCTGCTGAAAGAGTTCAGTTTAACTGCCCTTATTCTCAGCGTTTGCAACGACTGACACTATTTTACATATATAACGATGGCTGAATTCTACCCTCTGGAGGCCTTTGTGCGAGTCCCATTAACGTCAATAGGAGCTGTGTTGGCAAGTGTGGCAGCAGAATTTTGAACCTGACCAAGCCTGTTCCCTTCCCTTCTCTCTCCCAAAAATGCCTCTCTCTTATCCTTTGGGGAGTGGACAATAACCCCTGGCTCCTGCTCCTCATGAGGAATAAGCAAAGCCGCTGTGTGGATGATGCAGAAACTCAATGTAAGATATATCAACTCCAGCTACATAATGAACTAAATCAATTTGACCTTCTGCTGTAGTGTAGACAGGCCAGGCCTAAGGGAGAAAGAACGTTAGGGTGAGCCCGGGAAGTAAGTAATTCTGGGATTCTTGGTGCTTACTTCAGGGATCCCTGATTCATGGGTTAGGTGTAGCATGCTCATAGGGGCTGGGTTTGGCCTATTGCTAAATAGAGAATGTAGCCCTTTCTGGCTTTAAATTACCTTGTAGGATTCTAGAGCAGTGATATTATTCTCTATTAAATGTTAATATTCAAAATGGTCACGCTTTGTAGGATTCTAGAGGAGTGATATTATTCAAAATGGTCACGCTTTTCAGCAGGTTATTTTCTAGAGGAAGCAAGAAAAACAAATCCCCTGACATCAAAAGCCAAGTATCAGACCCTTACAGCCGACTCTATTAGCCTCGTTTAGCAGGGACACGTTAATTGACTGTTTTTTTTTCTTTTTTTCCCTCTTCCCTCTTTTTCCGCTTTATATTTCTCCCTCTGTGCCTCTGTCATCTGTAGAAGTGGGCTGTGCCCACGGAAGCTCATGACGCTCTCTATATTTTCTGGTGAGACTCTAATGCTGCAGGACCACTCGTTTTCTTAAGACAAAATACAGGACTATGTAGCACTTTAAAAACTAACAAGATGGTTTATTAGATGTTAGTCTTTAAAGTGCTACATAGCCCTGTATTTTGTCTCAGCTACACCAGACTAACACGGCTACATTTCTATCGCTATTCGTTTTCTTAAGTTTTTTAAAATCCACGTCTTTCGGAGCAGCGGCTCCAGGGATGACACGAGAACGCCATGACATGGGCTGGACAGGGGTCGCTGGCAAACGCTGTCTGTGAGGCAGCGGGGCCGACAGCCACTGCAGGCCCTGGGGCAAGGTATGTGTGGGGGCCAGCTCTGCACCCCCCCAGAAGGGGTCAGCCCTCAGGCGGAAGCGGGGGGACCCAGACCATGGCACTCACTGCAGCCTCTCGGAACTAAGCAGAATACCTTGCACAACGGTCTGGTGGCTATTCAAGGGCCCTGGAGCTCCGTCTGCCGCCCCTGCTGCTGTAGCAGTGTCAGCTGGGAGCTACAGGCCCCTTTGGATCACCGGGCCCCAGGGCAATTGCCCCATGGGCCCCCGTGTCGGTAGATCTGCTATGGGGGTTAAATCCATGTCCTCTGTACCTTGCTTTGCAGCCCCAATCCCACAGAGGACACTTCCCGGTCTCAGGGAAGCTGTTTATTGATAGATCTCACACGCTCTCTCCTTGATCTACTGCCCTTTCCAGGAGCCTTTCCCCTCCTGGGCCTTTCCGGGGCACACCTGGGAGGGGGCTGTGCTTCTGCTCTCTGGCTGGAGAAGCCCTGAGCCTGCTACACCCTTCCCTGCAGTGCTCTGCTCCTTTGGGCCTGCCACCGTCCTCCCGGCACATGCATTGGCAGGGATTCTGCGGTTCTACACGTTGCTCCCTGTGTCCGTGCCAGCAGGTACATACCAGGAGATCATCCCTCCGTGCAGGAGCCCAAGAGGGACCCGCATTCCTCGCAGGGCGGAGTCCTGCAGACTCAGGTCCCGAGTAAATCCGTTGGCTGTGCTTTTAATCCGGCTGCGTGTTAACTGAGGAACTGCCTTGGTAACTCTGAATTAAATATCCCAGGGGAGACTGGATGTTAAAAGCGTGTCCCAGAAGCCGGGGGACTGAAATGAAGAGACGGGCATGGTGATGAGGCTCAGAGGGGGAAATCCTTTAGATGGGTGGAAACTAAACGATTACCAATAGCAGTTTTCCCCATGGGGGGCAGGTGGTGTAGGCTAGGGTGAGGCCAAAACTGCCTGCACTCCCTAGCCGCCAGGGAAGGCTGGGGCCACGGCACAGCAGCCTGGCTCCCCAGCCACCAGGGAGGAATGGGGCAATGGTGCAGCAGCCCTGCTCCCTGGCCACTGCAGCATGGCAGCCCTGAGCCCCCAGGTGGCCATGAAGGTTCCAGTTGGGGGTGGGCAGGGCTTGGATCCAGGGGCGGGGCCTAGGGTGGAAGGGGTGGGGCTGGGGCTTGCCTTCCCCAGCTGGGCCTTGTTCCCTTAAGCTGAGTGCTTGGGCAGCCATGCAGGAGAGATTCAAATGCCACCCAGCAGATTACCAGAGTGGCCACAGCACCTCCAGCCATCAGCATGTGTTTCTATTGGTGGTGCACATCCACACATGCCCTGGTGCACATGACAAAATTTATTCTGCACACGGATGGGAAAAGATTGGAGAAGGAACATTGCCAGGAACTGCAAGATAAAGGCCAGGCCCAGTTACCCAGTGTGGCTCCCGCTGAGCACGTGACCCAAAAGTTGTGAGCTGTCTCTTGCCATGTCCCAATGACGCCAGTTTTTGATTCTGAAGTAGCAGGACAAGTCATGATGTAATATTTGGAGCTTGCATGCTTTGGGGTGCGCCTCAGAAAAGCAGGGAGAGAGTTGCAGAAAGGGGGTGGGGGACCAGCGACAGTGAACACCCTGAGTTCTAGCCCCTCCAAGAGAAGCACCCCAAAATTAACCAAACTCAAGCAAGTTAATAGGGAACATAGCTGTTGAACTGAACACGGGCCTCGCTCCTTTCAGTGCCTAGAATTTGGACCCTCCTCGAGACCCCTCTGAGCTCTGGACGTGCCAACCCCCTACAGATCCGACAGGAGCCACTGGGATTGGGGGAAGCTCAGACCCTTTGTAAACTCAGGCCCATGGGAGTTAGGCACCTCCATACCATGAAGGATCTAGAGCAGGGCTGGGCAAGATGCAGCCCGGGGGCAGGATCCGGCCCGCCTAACACTTTGATCTGGCCCGCGGATTGCATCTGGCCGCTTTCTATTTATAGCCTGTTGCCTGTGCCACCGAATTTCCCGGCAGTGGCTCAGGCAGCAGGATCCTATTTAAATGGTCCATGGCTCTCATTCGCAGCGCTACCCCAGCAGCGGCTGGAGCTATGAGCCCTTTAAA